CAGAATGAAGGCTGAACATGGTAGTGGGACAGGAGGAAAGCATAAGGAAATAGAGGAAAGAAGTAGGAGGCAAAGGGCATACATAGAGACCTAAATACAGGCATGCACATATGTACATATACTTATGATTAAGGGGGAAATAGATATATGTGCATATACTTATAGGTTTAGTAGTAGGGTAGCAAGTGGACATTGGGCCTCCACATGCGCATTCCCTCAATACAAGAACACTTTGCTCAGCTAAATGGTCATTCCATAATACCCATCTTCCCAACAGGATCACTGAAGACAAAGCAGGTGAATAAGCAAATGTGGTGAAGAAAGCTGATGATGCCCGACTATCAAAAGATATAGCGTCTGGGGTCTTAAAGGCTTGAAGGTAAACAAGCGGCCATCTAGCTCAGAAGCAACAAAGCCCACAGGGAAGAAGCACACAAGCCTGTGTGATCACGAGGTATTAAAGGGATCAGGTAGCAGACACCAAAGAACAAAAACCATCATTGTGTGATCACCTTCCCAATGTAAACACTGAAGACGAATGTGTGGATAAGTAAGCGTGGTGAAGAAGGGTGATGGTGCCTGGCTATCGAGAGATATAGCATCTGTTGTCTTAAAGGTTTGAAAGTAAACAAGTAGCCATGTAGCCTAGAAGCAGCAAAGCCCACAGGGAAGAAGCACACCAGAATGTGTGCTCATGAAGGGTCAAGGGGATCAGGTATCAAGCACCAAGGGTGGGGATCATATCATCATGAATGAGGGGAGCGTGTGATGGGGACCCAATGCCCATCTGTAGACAACTGGACATCCCTTGCAGAGGGGTAGTGGGAGGAGATGAGTCACTCAGGGTGCAGTGTAGCATTGATGAAACTCACAACCTTCCTCTAGTTCTTAAACGCTTCCTCCCCCCACCATTATCATGATCCCAATTCTATCTTGCAAACCTGGTTAGACCAGAGGAAGCATAGCGGTGCAGATGGGAACTGGAAATACAGGGAATCCAGGTCAGATGAACCCCTCAGGACCAGCGGTGAGATGCTGGAGTCCAGCTCCGGGAGGGTTGAACTGGACACTGAAGGAGGTGTGGAGTTGGTGAACACAGACGAGACACACAAGAGATGTTCTGGTGGAAGCAATCTCTGTCGATTTCTTCCAAACAGCTTTATTTATACCATAAAAAGCTTTGCAGACCACTACATAAAAACAATGCCTTATGATTAACTCCAAAGTCACCCTATTGTTTCCACTAAAACCTGATAAAAGACCATTATAAGGTCTGTACTTTCCCTCCAGATTCCTGAGCCCTGAAACCTAAACAGGGGTCTAAAGACAAAAGGAGGAAAGTGAAACTGAAATGGACTTGGAGTCTTGTGACAAACAAGTTCACTTCCAACAATCACACACACACACACACACACACACACACACACACATCTGTACTTTTCTCTATCACTTTCTGTCTTCTTCCTGGTTCTTTCTTTCTGTACTGCTTGTCTTACAAGTTACATGCTATTTTTGACTGAGGTGTTCAGAAAATTTGGTTAGACTCCTGTCCTACTCACTGCCCTATTTTTTGCTCACAATGTTCCTTTTCTTGTTGACTAACTTAACACAATGAAACTACCTCATGTGGTGCTTCAAAGGCTAATATCTACTAGCAGAGTTAAATGCTTCTCAAATATTTTCCTTTACAAACTCTCCCATGATAACTGGTCCATTGTCTACTTTATTATCTCTTTTATTTTTTATACTCCTGAGAGGCACCACGGGGAGCCAAACCATCTGATTCTTTGCCAAAGACTTAATGTTTCCCCTTTTATGTGTTTTCTATTAATGTTAACCATTCTCTCTCCTTCTATGTAAGCCCCTGTCCAAGGTACAGTTGGAGGACGCAGTCTATAAGGTCCTCCATATCGGGGAGGTCAAAAGAGTCCCCCACTACCTAATCTGAATGGAATCTAGGGGTTTTTGGTGGGTTTCATTTTCTCCTCTGACCTCAACTTTTGGATTTTTTTTTCCCCTCACTCAATTCCCACATATCCTCAGAATTCCCAAAGATGTCTCGCTGTCTAAGCCTCTCCAATGCCTCAGTTAAGGAAAGCCCCATCATATGGAAGCAAGTTTTAGATCTGGTTTCATTTGTACTTCTCAAGACTGCCCTCGCATCTACTCCAGGTGCGGTAAACATGACAATACACAAAATTCTCAAGAATGGATTTAACAACAGCAAATATTTGAGGGATATTGGAAACCCTCCCTGGGAATCTCTGCTCTGCAGATGCTTCTTCCACCAGGCTGTAGCTTTGCTAGACAGCATGGCTGGGATGGCTCCAAATAGTGAGAGTGGAGATACTGGGAGGGAAGAGGGAAGCGGGGGTAAAAAGGGGCAACCAATTACAAGGATCTGTATGTGACCTCCTCCCTGGGGGACAGGCAACAGAAAAGTGGGTGAAGGGAGGTGCCAGGCAGTGTAAGATAAGATAAAATAATAATTTATAAATGATCAAGGATGCTTTAGGGAGGGGGGAGCGGGAAGGGAGGGGTGGTGGAAAGAAAAATGAGGAGCTGATTCCAGGAGCCCAAGCATAAAATAAGTTTTGAGAATGATGAGGGCAACGAATGTATAAGTGTGCTTCACACAATTGATGTATGTGTGGATTGTGATAAGAGTTGTATAAGCCCCAATAAAATGATTTTTAAAAAGAGAAGAAGACTTGTACAAACCTCACCACAATCAGTTTAAGAACATTTTCTTCACTTTGGTACTCATATTTATTTGCTCTCCATTTCCTCCCATACCCTCAAGAAACCACTAAACCAGTTCTTGTCTCCCTATATTTTCCTATCTTGGATAGCAAACAGAGAAACACACAAAGCAAGAAAAACACTAACAATAATAACAAAGTATATAGAGAAAATCTCAATCAAAAATAAATCATAAGATATTAAAAACTAGAACCATTTTAGAATGAGTCAAAGGGAGATCAAATGATTAAACAAAGGAAAAAAGACTTAAAATTTTTTCTTGGCCTTAGAACTATACTTTACATCCACGCCTCTTTCTGTTTAGTGGTGCATCTGCCAAATATGTTGGTTTGGGGGACACTGCACTGTTAGCTTATCTATCTGTGTGTATTTAATTAGAAACATTTCTATGTCAAACATTCCAATCTACAACATTCCTATGAATGAATGCATATATTCCTATTGTGAAAAAATCAATGGTTAATGAATTTCTTGATCTTTTCATGCTATAAAGCATTTGTATATTTTCTTTGAAGATGTGTCTCTTCAAACACTTTACCCATTTTTAAACCGATGTTATCTGCTTTTGTTTTGTTCATTGTAAGTGTTCGTTATGGATCCTGAATATAAATACTTCTCAGATAACAAAAAAACTCCAAACTCGCTGCCATCTAGTGAAGGCTGACTCTCAGTACCCCGTCCGGTATCTGAGACCGTACTGGCTTAGGGAGGACACAGTCCAGTCTTTATCCCAGGAACTGATGTTGGCTTTTAACAGCCGACCTTTCGGATCTCAGCCCAACTCGTAGCACCACCAAGGCTCCTTTTTTGGGGGGGGGTCAGATAAAATGTTTGCAAATCATTTATCTCCCTTTGTCTAGGCTCTAGTCTCAGTGTGTCTATCGAATCATTGGTGGCAAAAGCTTTTCTTTTTGGTAAATTCTAATTTGTTACTTTTATCTTTTGTTGCTTATGCTTTTGCTGTGATATCTATGGAACCCCAAATCAGGAAACTTTGCTGTTGCAATATAGGCATTTCATCTTGTAGCTCTTACACTTAATCTTTGTTCTATTTTGAGCAAACTTGTATGGTCATTGTGAGTTAGGGGTTCAACTGCATTCTATTGACACCATTGCACACGCATACCGTTGTCCCAGTAAAATTGAAAAGGTTAAATGGCTTCTCCTGGAAAATCATCTGCTAATAATTGTAAGAATATTTCTGAACTCTCAATTATATTCCATTAATTATGTTTATTCTTATGCCAAAATCCTATCCTCTTGATTACAGTACCTTTGTGGAACGTTTTAAATGAGGCAGTTTTAACCCTTTAAAAATCTTCCAAAATCTATTCTTTGGGATTGTCTGCCCCTGTGGGTTTCCAAGACTATAACCTATTAAGGGAGTAATAATCGGCCGGTGATTTTGAACAACTGATGATGTGGTTAACAGCCCAGCATGTTGCCCCTGTGCCCCAGGGTTTCCTTGAGGCCTGAAGGAACAGCTCTGCAGGAATGAACTTGTGCCTTCAACGCTGTGTTTGAGTCTGGCTTTATGAAGCAGAGGGGAACTGTTCACAGAGTTTCTAAGTCCGTCATCTTTAGGACCCAGATTTCTAAGATTTTCTCCCGTGCAGTGGTTGGTGGATTCTGGTCTTTCGATGAACAGAGCGTTGCTTTCATCACGGTGGTACCGGGACTCTCTGGAATCCTTAAGGGGGCAGTTCGAGTCCACGCTGCAGGATAACTAGCAGCTGGGCTTGATGGGATGGCATGGCTAAAGAAGAATGTACTTGCAACGTTGCTCCCCAAGCCTTTTCTAGGTTTGGTCAATTGCGTCCAGACTCTCTTTGGACCCAGTCTTAGGCCACGATGTCCTTTCCATACGTAAAGCGTAACAACAGCCTCAACAACAGGCGCTTTCCCTGACTGTAATCAGGAAGCATGAAGATCTGCCTTCCTGAATTCTGCAAGAGCCATTCCGAGTGTCCGTGAGGTAAAGCACACGCCAGTGAAAACCAAAACCAGTTACCAAGTTCACCTTCTTGGAAACAGGCTACCAGGCCCGTCTTCTGAAATGCTCCTGGGAGAACTCAAAACTTGCACTTCAAACCTTGTGCTGAGTAGCAGAGTGCATTCAGCATGCACCACCGAGGGACAACAAATTGCTATGGGATATTGCAGCCCCTGGCTGTCTTATGGTCCAGTTCCTAAGTTCTCAAATATCATACACCACTTTGAATGAAGCGAGAGGCCGATTTTAGCAACGACTTTAATGGTGTATTTATTGGTTTATAAACACTTTACATCCATTATTTCTTTTGATTCTCAGAGAATGCAAACGGTCTGTGTAAGGCTTCATTGGGAAAAGAAGGGGGAGCTGGGATTTGGATTTAGGGGCTCTGAGTCCGGTTCCTGGGATCCTTCTCCAGCGCTACTTGGTTCTGTTCCCGCCCTTCTGAGCAGGCTCTGCTGTCTTCAGTCACCCTCCATGTTGCTTGCAGCCTCCCGGGGTTGCCCCCGACTCTCTCACCCCCATCCTCCTCCAGCGCCATCACCCTCGAGGAACCGCGCAGAGACGGTAGCTGACAGGGCTGAGAGTGATGCCCATTCTGAACTTCGTACTCAGCTTCTCATTGGCCGGGGCCTTGAAGGTAAACTTTTGTAAAAAGGAAGTGAAGAAAATAAACAGCTCAGATCTGGCCAACTGTTCTCCAAGGCAAGCCCGCTTTCCTGAAAGGCAAAAACAGAAGACTGAACTACCTTCCTGGTGGAGAAGGTACCCGGCAGGGGTTAAAATCCTCTCCCCCACCCTGCCAACCTGATCACAGGGGGGACCTGTGTCCCCAAGACTTCATTTACAGTGGCTCATTTAGTTGAACAACCTCCAGGGTAAGTTGAGGCAGAGAAAGTGGTTCCAGGTCCTAAACTCAAAAATGCCTTCCAGGGTCAGGCAGGGCAGGTACAGGAGTGAAGGTGGGGGGTGTCTAACAATACGGGGCCCAGGTTGATCTAGAAAGTCTTAAAAAAATTAACATACAACAAGTCCAAACTCGAGCAGCAAGCAATAAAATATTCTGTGTTTAAACTGTCCAGCCTTGAACAGAATCCCTCCAGAGGTACGAACAAGTAAACAACAGAGCTGGGGTCCCACGGCCTTTGTACTTGGTAGGCAGTGTCCCCAAATCTAAGTCCTTCTCAGAACCTCAGAGTGTGACCTCTTTTTAAAGGAGGGTTGTTGCAGACGTAGTTAGTTAAAATAAGGTCATGCTGAGATGAAGTTAGCCCTAAATCCAGTGTCACTGGTGTCCTTATAAGACAGACACACAAGGGAAGAAATGCCATGTGGGACAGACACTAAAATGTCATGGCTTGCAGAAAAGTACCAGAAATCATGGTAGAACTATGGGATAGACTCAGACGGTTCATCAGAGAACCTTAGAAGAAAATAAACTTGCTTACACCTGGGTTTCAGATTTCGAGCTTCCAGAACTGTTAGAGGATCTGTGTGTTTGGGAATACTATAGAAAGAAATCACCCTGCTGTCATACACCACACATTCCAGTGCAACATCCCAAACTCCAACTCATTGCCATCGAGTGTACACCAGCTCACCGTGAGCCCACAGGACCCGGCGTCTCCATGAATTGGCATTGACTCAATGCAAGTGAGTTTGTTTGTTAGTTCAGTTTTCTATTTCTGTAACGAGAATCAGTGTTGGAAACTCACTGGGACAGTTTTACCTTGTCCTACATTATTCACGGTCATATCTTCAGGGCTGGAAACTCATTATGCACTTAGGGAACTAAGGCATTGTAAATGTATTGGAAATAATGCATGTGCCTATCCAACTCAGTGCCTCAAATCTGCTAAGAGTGTTTGTTGTTCAAGTGACGGTTGAGTTAAATGAAGGAAAATCCTTTCAGAATTGGCTGGCACGGAAATGAAAGAGTTTTCACTACAACCACATTTGTATCTTTCAAAATGTGTACCATGTAAAAATATTCACTGAGTCATGAAAATATCATTAAATTTTTAACAGGCTAAAGAACTGATTTTGTTTGATACATGACCTGATATCCCTGATGGTAAGGAACCCCCTTCTCTTGCCCCCTCCTTATCTCATTATAAACCAACTCCATTGCTACACTGGGGAGCAGCCCTTCAAAAGAGCTTGGTCCATTTTAAAATTCTATAAAGATGGCAGGCATTTACCATTCTTCCATAGGAAGAGGCAAAGTCCAGGTTTCTCAGTCCCCAGGGCTCTTAGGGGGTGGTCGTGGTGGGGAGTCAGAGCAAAGCTGGCCTGAAATCTCCATTAGAGACCAGCAGCGATTCAGGAGACAAAGAGCAAGTTAAAGCCATCTGCAGCCCTGGGACATTTCTCCAGCAGGCCGTCTGTACATTTCCCAATTCAAGTAGACGACCAGTGGGAGGACACTGGGAGGGCTGAGAGAGGGACAGTGGATCTTCACACCCTGATGGAAACAACTCACCGATTGAAAAGGGCAGAAAGTCGTCCCTTTTCCTAAACTGTCCATTCTCCAGAAAATGCTCCGGATTGAATGTGTCGGGGGTGGCCCACTTGGCGGGGTCAGTGTGCAGCGCAGTCAGATTGGTCAGGACTAAGGTTCCCTAGAGAGACAACAAAAGTTCAAAATTAGACCCATGTCACACACCTAGACAAAGGACGGCAGTCCTAGGGCTCCTACTTGCTGACACATCCTAAACTCTCCCACCCTCCCCAACCCAATATCCCCAAGACCAGACCCCAGGAGCCTGCTCTTTGTCATGGGTCAGTTCACAATGGATCACACCAGTCTGCTGGAAATTGTACCAGGAAAAATTTGGCTGCTGTTGGCTTTGCAATGTATCTTCTCTAGAGGCACAGGTCATTGTGGGGGCTTGGGAGGAGCCATGTGTGCCATGAGTAAGCCATGAGTAAGAAAAGAATGGAGCAGCTGCCCAGAGAGCACTGCACCAGCATCAACCCACTGCTCAACGAGGGGATAACTGTGGCCACTCCACAAGGTAGAAGATGTCTCAGTCACATTTGCCTCTCCCATGCTTCCCCTCTCCAATGTCCGGTAAATGACACTGCCTCCATTAATAATAAAACAACACACAGTCCCGAGAACGACACCTCTCTTTGTCCAGTTACAAATGCAAGAGACCCCGGAGCTGTCCTTCATCCATACCTTCCTCTCCATGTGCCTGCATCCAATCCATCAGCAAGAATGGCAGACTGCTCTTCCTCAGTTGTTCTTTATTCTGTCTTCTTGGTCCTCTGTTGACTGCCGCCACTCTAGCTCAGGCTACCACGTTGCTTCTACTCCTATACTAGCCTCCTAAACACATCCCAAGGCTCAGTGGCAGGATGTTCACCTTTCAAGGAAGAGGCCTGAGTTCAATTCCCAGCCAATGCCCCTTCTGCATAGCCACTCCCTGTCTGTCCACGGTGTACCTGTTGCACTGTGGTGTAAGTGTTAAGCTGCTAACTACAGGTCAGCAGTTCAAACCCACCAGCTACTCTAATGGAGAAATATGTGTCAGTCTGCTTCAATAAAGATTTACAGTCTCAAACTGTTTATCTTCAAACCTTTAAGACACCAGACGCTATATCTTTCGATAGCTGGGGACCATCAGCTTTCTTCACAACATTTGCTTATGCACCCATTTTGTCGTCAGCAATCGTGTCAGGAAGGTGAGAATCATAGAATGCCAGATTATTAAAACAAGGTGTTTTTGTGTTGAGGGAGTACTTGAGTTGAGGCCCAATGTCCATCTTCAACCTCAATTCTTAACATACAGATATGAGTACATAGTTCTATTCCTCTCTCATTATATATTCTCCTACAAACTTTATGACGCCCCCCTTGTATAATGTAAATTCAAATTCTTGCTTGGAATTACAATACAGACTTTACTAAGACTCAAATGAACCTGAAGGTTGTCTAATGATGCACACACTGCTTTGGCATTTTCATTTATGCTTTTCCACATGCATGAAGGGTTATTTTGAATTAGGTTGAATAACTGCAGCTGTGACAGGAAACTGACTCAACTATTTGGAGGACTGATTTTCAATTTAACCATTCCTGATGTGAGGCAGCCTCAGGTGATTATTTTCGTGGCTCAGCATCATCGTTAAGAATCTGGGTTGCTTAGAGCTTTCTTCTCTGTAACCCATAGCAATTCAGCTTCTTCTCTGCCTGACTCTCAAGGTCAGAGTGACTTCACAGGGTCTTGCTGTCACATGCAAATACAACCAGAATTAGCAGAAGAAAGGAAGGCTTCTCTTCCTATTTGAGCAGGATGGAAACCTTTCCCATAAATACTAAAGGAAATCCCCCCACCTGGCTCAATGGCCAGAAATACCCAAGGCCATCACTGGCAAGGAGAATTGGGATGATTGTGATTGGCTTATGAAGCAGAGTGTCTTCATGAACAAAGGTAGACTGCAGGAACAACATTAAGATTCTTTTGCAGTGGGGCATGGAAAAGTTGGGTTAACCATTTGAAATATTGGTGGTTATTTTAAAATATTTTTATTATGAAAATTTCAAACATAAGGGAGAAGAAAATAGTGGGTACCCGTTTCTCAGTTTCTGCAAATATCAACATGCTGACAAATTTTTGCCACTCCAATCCTCTCCTTCATTTCTTGCTAGAAAGTTCGGATGCAAATCCCAGACATGGTTTTTAACATGGTCCATGCATATATATTAAGTACCTTCTATATGAGGGGTTGTAAAAAAATTCATGGAAGAACTCTATTACCTTTTAACTCCAGTTCACCATAAACTTTTTGGGCCTTTGTAATAAGCCTGTTGGAATATCTCTTTCTACTCATTTGACTGATTATAATAAATATTAGGACATGAATACATATCCCTTTTCAAGTTTAGACTCATACTACCTCAAAAGAACCAAGAACCATGAAGAACCAAGTCTGAGAGTCCTGGTTACCTTTGGCAGGTGGTATCCAGCCAGCGTGGTGTCAAACGTCACTTCCCTGGGCACGTTGAGGGGGACGATGTTGCCCATTCTGAGCACCTCGTGGATGACAGCATTGGTGTAAGGCATGAGCTCTCGTTTGGCTGTGGTGGGAGGCTGTGACTGGCCAATTACTCTGTCGATCTCAGCTTGTACTTTCTCTGGAAAAGGAGAGAAGATCCCATTATTCTTCACACTCTCACACATTCTTCCAAAGATGCCGAGGTGACCTTCAAGGTCTCACCTATTGTGTTTCAGTTTGTTACAAGGTTACAGACCAAATGGTTCTTAATCCTTCAGCCAGATGGGTTGACACAGTGACTGCAAGAATGAACATAACAATTGTGAGGATGGCACAGGACGCGGCAGTGCTTCCTTCTGTTGGGCACTGGGCTGTTACGAGTCAGAACCCAGTGATGGTACCTAACAACAATCCTTCAATGGCGGATTTAACTTTTTTTTTTCAACTCCATACATTTCTTTGAGTCTGGTTAGGCTAAGGAATAAAATAACCTGAGTCCAATTGGCAAATATTATAGTGCTGTCAGCTGTCATTGAGTTTGCACGGTGATGTTATGAATAATAGAAGAAAATGCCATGTGCCCTGTATCCTTTCAGGTTCGTGGATATGATTGAGTTCACCGCTGTGGCTAGTGGATTCATGGAGGCCCCACTCTGAGGCAGTGCGCTCCTGGTCAAGGCACATCCAGCCGCCTGCTCACCTTGGATTTCTGGGTAGAGGGCCATGTAAAGCAGAGCCCAGCGCAGCGTCGTAGAAGTTGTCTCTGTCCCAGCAAAGAAGAGGTCCAGTGTGCTGCAGACGAGGTTTTCTTCATGGAAGCTTGAAGTAGTATTGCCTGAATACTAAGAATAAAATGATTTATTTATATTTTTTAGAGAACTCATGGTTACCCCAAAACACAGGGCACTTCATCCTAAGGAAGGACTTTGGAAAGCACATTTCTAGGAGAAAAGACCTTCCCTTTGGCTTCTTCAGTAGACCCAGGGACATAGCAAGATCATTGATAGCTTTATGTCCCAAGTCTGAGAAACTACCTAGGACTTCCAGTACTTAAGCAGACAAAAATCAAAACAATAATTTCCTTACAGTTATCATTTAAAGAGCAGGTATTGATGGAGTGGGAAAGAAAGAGCTATGAAAAAGACAGATTTGAATTGAGACAGCATCCGTAAAAGCTGCGTGATTTAGGCCAATTGACTTCAGCTCTCTGTGTCTCCATTTTCTATTCCGTAAAATGGAAATAATCTCTTATATTCAGGAAGACCTGCCTGAATTACAATGGGCACACAGCAAATAATCCGCAAATATTTTACTATTGTCGGAAAAAAGAAACCCACTTCCCTTTGATACAACAAGTCTCCTATCTTCCCCAGGCTCCTTTTCCTTTCTAAGCTGGCCTCTTTTTCCCATCACTCACTGATCAGGATGCTATCACCTTCCTTGGATTCCTCACATTTCTCTTAAGTCCCCGGCCCGAAAGCCATATAGCAATGATAGCCTCTACCTTTGATTAGTAAACAAGCTTCTGATAATGTTATGCTGAAAAGGTTAAATGAAGGACGAGATGGGGAAACTCCACCAATCTGCCTTCTCCAAAATAAGAAATGTTCATGTGGAAAATTACAAGTCAAGACACTGATCCAATGATGTACATAAAGTGAAGGGGTCACCCTGTTAAGGGCTATATATTCTAATATGCCTTTCTTCCAGCTTCTTCCTTATAATATTGATTGATGATATGGAGGTAGGTCATGGGTAGAAGAAAAGTTCCCCCTAGGCCCTGAGAAGAAAGTCTGATGTCCAGTTCTGCTTTACTTACGCTGCCATAGGAACCGGAGAGATGAGCAGGCCACAGGGGACCTTAGTGCCATCAGGTTGGTTCTGACTCCCAACTCTCCTATACGATAGAGCAGACCCCCCTGCCAGGGTTAAAACCCTCGCAGAAGCAGACTCCTGCTTTGTTCTCATGTGGAGGGACCGGTGGACCCAAATTACCTTTCAGTTAGTAGCTGAGCACTTACCACAATGACACTAGGCGTCCCCAGGAAACAGGGCACAGATTCATCCATTACTAAAACAGTACTTTCATGATCATGTCTATTTTCCCTTCTGTGTACATCTTCATGTACGGGTACAGGGCTTGGGATGGGGCAGATTCGGTATTTCCAGAGTCTCTAGCCAAATGGCATTAAACTTCCATCTTAATTATAATCATATCATCAATCTAGAGTACAGGCTCCTACTGTACTCTGTAATAAACTCAGTGCCATTGCGTCTATTCTGATTCAGAGTAAAACTTTTCAGGGTCTCAGAGACTGTAAATTTTGTTGGAAGCAGATAGTTTTATTTTTTTCCATGGAAGCAGCTGTCAGAATTAGTAGTCCGATGCTTAACCCAATGCGCCATCAAGCAGGTCCTTCAGGCTGTAATAGTGCCCCTGTAGTAGCCTGAATAGGGACTTTCAAAGACACCCATGTCCTTCGGCCTAGAACTTGTTACGGTGTTGCCTTATACAGAAAAGGGGAGGAGATTCGGTGGCACAGCAGTGTAGGCCGCTCGACTGCCAAGAGAATAGGTTGATGGGCCAAGCCTGGCTGTAGTTGAGGAAGGAAAAAGTTGCAACTTTTCCAAAATGCCATGAAATATTACAGCCTTGAAAACCCTATGGAGCAATTCCCCGGTGCTCTAGGATTGCTTTCCTGATGTTAAACCACGGGGTATTCCTCTGCTCTAGTCCCACAACTACCTGGTTTAGAATCAGGAATGATGAGCAGCAGGATTGGATCCTCTCACTATACTGGCTCAGTCTGTGTGCTGAGCACATCATCAGAGGAGCTGGATTATATGAAGAAGATGGTGGCATCAGGATCAGAGGAAGGCTTATTAACATCCTTTGATATGCAGATGACATAAGTGAAGAGGACTTAAAGCCCTTGCTGATATATATCAAGGATTGCTTTTAGTATGGATTACGAATCAATATCAACGAGACCCAAATCTTCACAACTGGACAATAAGCAACACGATGATAAATGTGGAAAAGGTCAAAGATGTGAGAGATTTTGTCTTGCTTGAATCCACGATCAATGCTCATGGAAGCATTAGTCAAGAGAGTAAAAGATATACTGCATTAGGTAAATCTGCTGCACGAGGCTTTTAGAATATTGAAAAGCTAGGATGTTACTTTGAGGACTAAAGTGTGTCTGATCAAAGCCATGAAAGTTGGACATTGAATAAGGAAGACCAAAGAAGAACTGATGCATTTGAAATGCGGTGCTGGATGAGAATATTGAAAGTACCACGGACTGCCCTAAGAAACAAACCAATCTGTCTTGGAAGACAGATTCTGTTAGGCACAGGGTCACTATGGGTTGGAACGGAATTGATGGCACCTAACAAAATAACAACATAGGATTGTTATGAGCTGGAATTGTCTTGATATCAATAGTTTTGGTGTACAAATGCAGACAATGATATCATACTGGATTGTCCAAATGGACTTAATGTTATCATGAAGGTTGTTAATAAGTGGGGGTTTGATGGTCAAAGAGAGTATGCAGGGTCAAAAAGAAACAGTGGCCATACAGAGAAGAGGCTAGGCTGCTGGCTTTGAAGGAGTAAGGGAAATAAGGCAAGGAACGCAGGTTGCCTCTAAATCCTAGACCGGACCTAGACCGGACCAGGAAGCAAAATTTCTGCAGAGCCTCCAGAAGGACCAGCCCACTGATATTTGACCTTTTGTCCAGTGAAAGCAATTTTAGACATCAGGCGTTCAGAGTGCCACCAAATTGATAGTAATTTATTGCAGCAGATACTTGCTTACAGAAAAATGCAGGAAATGAATCCATTTCCATTTTAAAGGAGAAGCCAGCTTTGTTTTCCTCACCTTTGTCATTTCGCTCAGGTAAGCATCAATGAAATCTCTGGGCTTCTCAGGATCCCAGTCTTCCTTGTGTTTTTCAATCATCTGAGCTACGAATGACTTCAATTTGTTCCAGTCTCTGAAAAGCGTTTGGTGAGATCCTGGCAGGAATTTCACTATCGCTGGACACATATTGTACAACTAGTGGAAAAAACACAGAAATCATGGAGACAATATACGTTCCACATTTCCACATTTTAGAATAACAATCTTCTCTTTTTTATTTTAGTAATAGCAGACCAGATAATTTAGCTGATCCTCACATTATGAACACCAAAATGAGATTCACACACACACACACACACACACACACACACACACACTCCAGAAGGTGGTGAGGAATTTCAGAAATAAAGTTTAGGGGAAGAGGGAAGTTCTGAAAGTCTAAACATTTGATCTCAATTTCTTCTTGCCAGTGTCTTTCAAATCCATAAACTGCTGAAAAAACATGAAACTGAGCAGAATTTTTGACACACTCACAAGCTTAGAGGGACACAAAGTAGAGTCTATGGCCCACCAAAGAAGGGTATGAGGTTTGAATCCCAAAAGAGAATTCTCTAAGAAATTGAAAAACTGCTGATAGCAAGTGTTGGTAGAGAGTATACCAGCCGCACAGCCACTTAGAAAGTCTTATGAGTGGCTATGTGCGCAAATAACACTTGTTCAAGAATGTTCATGGTAGCATATTCATAGCATGCACAGACTAGAACCAACCCAAAGGCTTACTGATGGAAAATAGAGCCACAAACAGTGCCATATTCAGACAATGGACTGCTAGTCAACATCTAAAGAGAGACAAATCAGGGAACACAGTCTGGTGAACAACAAGCCAGATGCACAAGAGACCCTCTAAAGAAAAAGACGGGATTGACAAGAGGCATGGAGATGAGGCCCTCAAAGGCAATGACAGTATTGTTGTTCTCTTTGAAACAACCACATAGATACAGAGTGAAATTCTGTACCATTTGTCAGTGTTAGAAATACTCTTTTATATAAAAAATGTAATATTAAAAACAACAATGTCAACAGGTGGATTTCACATTGATTTTTTTTATTGAAGCTAATTAAGAAGGTATTTTAGGGAAAGTAAATACATAAAGGAGCCAGCATTGTATCTGGCACCAGCACTGATATCCTTAAACCACATGTGAGAAGTACACTGCTTACCTGACACCACCTTCCTGCCTCCAGGCACATGGTTTCATCCAACAGCCTCAGCAGTTCCTGAAACTGAGCATCCTGGTATTCAAAGCGCTCTCCAAAGGTAATGGAGCAAATGACATTTGAAACTGCATTGTTGATCTTGAAGTGCGGGTCAAAGGGCTTTCCTGCAAGCAGAGGAAGGAAGACATGGATCTTTAACATTGATTTCTTCTTTCTAAGGAACTCTCACTGCCATCAAGCCAGTTTTCACCCATAGTGATCCTATGGACGAGGAACTGCCCCTGTGAGTTTCAGAGGCTGTAATCTTTATGGGAGCAGTGTGGTATTTACATAATTTCACGTCAACTTGATAAATAAGAGTGAATGGAGTGGAGTCCAGCCTGTCAATCAGGTCACAGCCTGATGATGTGTCCTTAGGGGTGTGGCCTACTCATGAGGATTCTGGGAACTTCCTCTCTTTTTCTCTCAGGAGGTGAGCCACCCACTCTCTCTCTGCTTCACTTCCTTGCTTTTGAGACACTCAGAGAGCTGGAGTTGCCACGTGGATACATGCTCCAGCACTGAGATGCTCCCACTGCCACTGGATCCACAAGACTTTTCACCCACTGCCTGTGATCTTGCATTTGTCATCGTTGCATGTGCTATGTGAGTCTGACGAGGAATTTATAGACTAGTACTGGACATGTGGGCTAATATCGGACTTATGGGCTTGATTGGGACTGGACTGGGATGTTCTCTCAATATAAAATTGCTCTTTGATATAAAGCTCTTTCTTATACATATATGAGTGTCAATGAATTTCTTTCTCTAGTCAACCCTGCCTAACACATTATGGTACCTTGGGAGTGGGTTACTAGAGAAGTTAATCTTGAAGATGACGAGTGGATGCTTGTTTGATCTCTGACTTATGACAGTTTCACTTTGACTAGCCTAAGGTCAGATAAGGCCACACTATTTGCTCCATTGTTTTCTGGAAAGAGCACGGGAAGTGAAGGGTTTGATCCCCGGAAGTTGTCTTTGGCTATTCTTGTCTGACATGGCAAAATGAATGTTATAAATGTAAATTTTGAGCTTGTGGCAAAATTTCTCCTGGAACTTCTCCTCTGAGACCATGCTGCTTAGTCAAAGTGGCTGACAGAAGGTTAAAATGGCTTAGAGAAGGACCCACCATGGCTTGATGAAGTCAGAGCCCTGAGGCCATACTTCTTACCAATGGAATAGTTTCTATAAGGATTAAGATAATATAGATAAGGATTGAACTTGACTGTTTTAAAGAACTGAATTTAGGATTTGCCTGTACTAGGTTGATACTGATTTCGTCTGTCTATTATGATTGATCTAAAGTGTGATAGAGATGATTATTGGGAAGAAAAAAATAGTTTGTAAGCCTACTTGCCTTCAGCCATTAAATTGGATCTTTAAATGGGTGTAAAACACACCTGCAAAGAAAAGTTCCACCCAGTTCTTTCAGTGATCCAGACATCTCCAGTCGAAGAAGAGACTTACCTAGGGGTTGTTGACAGACTGAAGAAGGCAAAAGGTACCCTTTTTTGGGGAACAGAAGGATTTCTCTCAAGTTGTCTCCCCCCAAAATATGTACCAGACTTAGCTGCTTGAGAATGACTGTACACTAGCCGGTCAGCGAAAGTAGGTCAGAGGCTATTCTCCTTAACATCAGCCATCTAGAGCAACCAGACCGTATAGCCTGACTCACCCTAAGTAGGGCCCAGTCCCTTCTGCTATTGTTCCCTTGAAGCAGTGCCCAAAGGCAAGCCCGGGACCACTCTATGATGACTAAGCTAATTGAGTCCAGGGTCCACCCATCTTGCCACACATGCTCCCCTATTCCCTCCTCTTACTATTGCGTGTTCACCCCTAGGTCATCCCCCTCCTATTGCTTGTATTGCCTATGTTGCAACCCCTCCCTATGATGTAGGTTGTTGTGAATTGTATTGCCCCTTTCTGTGATGCATGATTCTGTAATCAGATCCCCCTAAAGTGATATGATGTGTGGTTAGCAATAGATAAGGAGGCTCCCTGGTTCTCGGGAGGATGAGGGTGGCTGCTCCCGCCAGGGAGGCGGCTCCTGCTCTGGCAGCCGGGTTCCCCTCATGAGGACCACCAAGTAGGGTGGAGGTGAGCAATGTTACCATGTAATACATCTGACTGTATTATTGTAGTATCTCTCATGCTCTCGATGACTTTAATATAATACTTATATATATATATATATATATATCAATTGTACAATTGTGATTATTGAACCCATGGGTAGTAGCAGCAGTTGGGGGCTGGCCCCTCCTCTCCCCTCCAAATTTAACTTAACCTTACATACACCCTTTGGCTTTTTGAGTTTTGAACTAGTGGTTTGTTCCTGAAGCTGATAAAATTTGGAGCCATGAAGTTAAAGGAAGCCTGTGTGCAGCCTGAAAGGCTTGCTAGGTGACCACCTGGATCCACTTGTTGAGTGGAAGTGGGAGAAATGCAGCAATAAAAAAGATGGGTTGAATATGGCCACTGACACCTGTGGACCTAGTTCACGAGGACTAGAGGAGAAGACTGGTTCGTCTGAAGTTTATGACCTAGCCAAAGGGGACTAGGGTTGTTGAGAATTTGTGAAGTTCAAAAGGTGAGGCTGTCAATGGGCACCCTGGTGAGGCTAAGTGAGGTGGCCCACATTGAGTTGTCCAGAACCCGACCAGATGAAGATGAGAATTTTGAGCCTATGAATTGCTGCATATTGCTGTTCACTTTATGGTCAGCCTTTCCTGATTTGACTTTGCTTATGGCTGCAGACTCACACGGCTTCAATTGGAATGAGGATTCTTCGCATCAAAGAACCTGCCTGTCTCCTCAGAGAACTGGACTGATATAAGTGGGCAGCATAGGAATTGGATACCCAGAATGGGGAGGATAAAAGAATGAAGTGGCTGGTTTACAAACTTTCATAGGTGAGGGAATATTTTTATAGAATAATAGGATTATGCTGAAGGTGTTCACTTAACTGCAATTGTTAGGCATAGAATATTTTTGTTTTGCTCACTTATAGAATATTATGTTTAAATGAGGCTGGCATATTTTGAGTTACGTATATGCATTTTGGTTTTCTTCTGTTAGGTACAGATGATTTTATTATTGTTTTGTTTAAAAGTTATAGATGGCTAAAGAGTTTATGATGCTGCCAAGTTGACAAGGAGTGCTCTGTGGTGGTTACATAATTTCATGTCAACTTGATAAATAAGAGTGAATGGGGTGGAGTCCAGCCTGTCAATCAGGTCACAGCCTGATGATGTGTCCTTGGGGGTGTGGCTTTCTCATGAGGATTCTGGGAACTTCCTCTCTTTTCTCTCTGGAGGTGGCCCCACACACTTTTCTCTGCTTCACTTCCTTGATTTTGAGACACTCAAAGAACTGGAGGAGCCGCATGGATACATGCACTAGCGCTGAGATGCTTCCACTGCCACTGGATACACAAGACTTTTCACCCACTGGCCTATGATCTTCTTGCATTTGTCATCGTTGCATATGCTATGTGAGTCTGACGAGGAATTTACGGACTAGTACTGGACATGTGGCCTAATAGCGGACTTATGGACTGGATCGGGACTGGGCTAGCTTGTTCTCTCAATATAGAATTGCTCTTTGATATAAAGCTCTTTTTTATACATATATGAGTGTCTCTGGATTTGTTTCTCTGGTCAACCCTGCCTAACACCGAGCAGACAGCCTTGTCTTTCTCCCATGGTGGATTCATATTGCTGACCACGTGGTCAGCAGCCCAACTCATAACTCACTGCACCATAAGGAACGGGCACTCTATATGACATAGGACATAAGAGGCAGTGGCCAGTGTACCCTACACAGGATGTTCTATATAACTAGCACTCAAGCAAAGCTTATGGAGTCAAATCTATGGCCAAGATTTAAATTCAGTAATGTGTGTAATGCCTGTCTTCTTGTAATAAATTCCACAAGGGCAAGATCCACAGTGCGTTGTCCACCATGACAGCTTTAGTGCCCAGCACAAGGTTTGCCCTAGATGATTAATCTGGGTACTTAATAAGTAGATGTTCAACCAGTGAAAGAGCCATAAAATCTTACACCTGTCCTACGAAACTCTCACCTTTCATCTCTTCTATTGCCTCGCAAAGGTAGTGGGCCTCCTCCTGAATGCGTTCTTCTAAGTTCTTCTTCCCTAAACCAAAGTTCCTCAGTGTTGTTAAGGCAAACCTTCTTTGTTCCTTCCAGAGCTGGCCACTGGACATGATCAACCCTAGGACAAGGAAAGTGTATATTATGCTATGGTTATCGTATAAGGTTAACATCTGGAAGACGATTTGGGGATGTGTATTAGACAGAAGAAAGGAAAAGAGCATTGGGCAAATGAAACATGCAGAGAAAAGAATCTCAAAGCATTGGATAGACTGGTTAACATTTACTGACTGCTCCCTATGCTTTATATAATTCAGCACACATACAAACGATATGGAGTAGGAATGATTATCATCCCCATTTTCTATTGAGAAAACTGAGGCACACAGGATACCACTTTGCAAGGTCAGACAGTTAGTAAGCAGCTGAACAGGCAATCACATTCAAGTTTACATGATTCAAAACTCTTTGAAATTATCAATGCAACCAGAGTGTTTCTGCATCAGGTGCAGCTTCCCACAAATCCCTGCCATCAGGGCTCACAGTGCCACCTCCTCAGACAGAGAGATGACTTAAATTCAGAACCATGGCCATGGCGCTTCCTTTAATGGCAAGCATGTTATGAGGAGCCTGGTGTCTGGGAGTGTCAAAGAACTATAGTCAAAAGGTGCATTTCACAGCCTATACCAACAGCAAACAGACAAATCTTCCATTAGGGAAGAATCTTACCATTTTTCTTAAATATATGCTCTCGGGCGGGAAACACTGGGCGATTCACAATGGTTTGGTCCTTGTGGGCAAGGGCTTCTTTGATTAAGGGCAATCCACTTACAACGACACAATGCAAGTTTCCAATATCCAGGCTAAACAGGTTCCCATATTGCTTCACAAACTGAAAAATAGTGAGGCACAGTTGAATATGCACTTGACCGTGTATCTAGGAATGAAGTGTGTCAGTGTGTCGTTGCAAGGGCTTCCCACTGAGCACAGTTGAGTGTGTGTATGTGTGTGTAGCTGAGTGTCTCAGGCAGCTGAGAAATGTTAATTCCACAGTGTGCAATGTGACCAATATTTTCTGTTGCTACATAGCAAACAAATCCTTTTACCTCTATGTGCCTCTGTTTCACACTCTGTTTCACAAGGTGGACTTCAAACATTGATGGCTATAAACCACTTCCACTGTCAAAACTCTGAGTTGTGATGGATGAAAGGGTGTCACTCTGTCTTCTGTTCTTCTTTCAACTAGGCTCAACTTTAATTTGCTACACTATAGTCGCTACAGGATTGGGAATTTCTTTTTGAAACATTCAGTAATTTAGTCAACACACATGAAGTGAGTGAATATCCACTATGTGTTCCTAGAACAAGGCACGATGGGTTTATCTGAATAATAAGCAAGTGTCCTATGACAGCCCACACAATCAAATGCCTTTGCATAATCAATGAAACACAAGTAAGCACTGCTCTGGCCTTCTCTGCTTTGAGCCAAGATCCACCTGACATCAGCAATGATATCCCTTGTTGCATCTCCTCTTCAGAATCCTGCCTGAATTTCTGGCAATTCTAAGTCAATGTGCTGATGTAATCATTGTTGAATGATCTAAGTAAAATTTTACTTGTGTGTGATGATATCAGTGATATCATTCTATAGTTTGAGCATTCTGTTTGGTCTTCTAATTCATAGAGTGTATTATAATCCTGAGCTCATTATCTGTGGCTATAATCCCACTTTGGAGATAGTTCTATGCTATGTTAACTGACATAATTAGAGTGGAATTAATTTATGACCTTAGTAGTAAAGGGTATGTACCTAGCCATATTCATTGTTTCCTTGGGGTATAGTCTATTGAAAGACAAAAACCACATCTCCATCAAAACCTTTCCTATGGGTATAACAGTAATCTCAGATAGGGAAAGAAATCCCAGGATCATCAATAGAAGAGCCCCTTCAAGATCTCTGTATGAAGTGGTAGAGGCTGAGATTAGAGGCATCAGGGACCACAGAACAGAGCAGAGGACCCCCATTAAAACCAGAGGCTACGGCAAGGTAACCATGAGACAGAAGAGTGGAGCAGCGCTAAGGCTTGACGACTGTGAAGCAGAGTGACAGATAAGCTTTCTGGTCCATGGAGGCAGAAGCCATGGGACCACATGACTGAGAGACAGGACCAAAGAAAGGCTGGCTAGTGGCTGAGGGGAGGTTTTGCTGTGGATCAATGACTTTAGCCTAACTGTTTTTCTTGTTTTGTGATAACCTCTTAACTTCCCCAGCTTTAAAAAAAATAAACAACAAACAAATAAACTCACTGGCATCCAGTACATCCATGATAGTAACCCTCTAGGACAGGATATAGCTCCTCCTGTAAGTTTCTGAGACTGTAACTCTTTACAGAAGTAGAAAGGCCGATCTTTCTTCTGTGGAGCAGTTGGTGGTTTTGATCTTCTGACCTTTCAGATCACAGTACAATATGTAACCACTACACCACCAGGGTTCCTCTACTTCCCTAGTAAATCGCCTTACTCTCCAATATTGTCCGTGCGTTCTGTGTGACCACTACAACAGATTATTGAACCTACCAGAGAAGTAGAGTGTCCTGGAAGGAATGGTTGGTCTCAGAATACATAAAGAAGGGTGGAGCCTGGAGGAATTTCTGACCCTTACCTCATGGCAGTTGGGGAGCCAGAAGATGTCAGATATGGCTCTCTCTGTGCCATTTAAAAAAAAACATATTTCTGGATATCCCATTGATTACCAGGAATTTACACTACATATTTCACCATACATTGGCATTAACATTAGTGTCATAAGAGTCCAAAATTCCCAGAAATATAGGTAAAGATTGCAGAGGGAAATATATTTGAAGAGATAATGCCTGAAAATGTCTCAATTTGTCTAAACCAACACATGGTCAGTACTAAGTGAACCCAATCAGGATAAATCCACAGAATTTTAACAGGAGAAACGCAAAGACAAGTGCACCAAGGCACATCCTAATCAAACTGCTTGAAACTGAAGATGCATTTGGAAAGAGTCAGAGAGAAGGAACTTACGGCCTCTGCCAAAGACCAACTGACATGAGAACAAACTTCTCTTCCCAAACCATGTAGGACACAAGGACCTGACACAGCATTTCCAAGTGTTTCCGTGTGAGTGACAGTGGCTTAGTTAGCCACTTGACCTTCCTCTCATTGTTGTGGATAAATGGGATATCCAACTTAGAATCTGATATTCAGCGAAAGCATATTTTAGAAATGAAGGTAAAATTGATATACTGTACAATGAAGGGAAGTGGAAATAATTCACCCAATTGGATTTAATCAACACAAATAAAATGCTCTACCCAACAACAGCAGAATACATGTTGTTGTTATTTTCAAGCCCACATGAGACATTTACCAGGTCAGAAATGGGTCAACTGTTCTATGACCATCATTAAATCACACTGGAAATCATTAACAGAAAGATAACAGGAAGATTTCCAAATGCTTGGAAGTGAAACCACATATTTCTAAAACAAGAGCATATGTTTCAGGGACTAGTTTTAAAATTCCATGACTAATCATGCCACCAATGTTACCAACTGGATGAGCGTCCCTTGAGAGCGATACGATATTATACATGTGCAATTGAGGGTGTAGAAGCACATGTTCACAGGGTGCCAGTCTTTGTTGGAAAAGGGAACTGATGCTTGTTGAGCATCTAACATAGATCATGTTGACGTTGGTTATTAACTGTCTTAATTTAATCCTCAGAACCACCTTCATAGAGTCTCTCAGCCAGGTAACTAACTGCTGAGGCCAGCTGAGGATTCTCAACAGGGTGGTGTGATTGAGGGAACAGGAAGAACCTCAGAGAAGTCTCAGAGTGAGTGAGCCCCCGTGAGAGGTAAGAATACAGAGGTGGAGTGAGGATGAATCAAGAAGGGACCTGATTGCCTTGGTCAGGAGTTCAAACACTGAAGGGTTAAAAAGAAAAGTTAACAAGGGAATTATACTTTTTAGATGATTAATTTTGGAAGAGTGGATTTCCGGGGTGGAGGCTAAAGAAAAGGGTCTTGGTTTCTGTGGGGGTGGCAATACTGCCGCTGACAAGTAGCATGGGCTATTAGTATGCTCATCCTTTTACATACAGGACACACAGCCAACAGGAAAGTTCAACAGTTTTCAAAGGTAATAGGATTAAAAAGAAGCAAGACGATCATATTATAGAGTTTCACAGTAATTTACCAAGGTGAAGGAGCCCTAGTGGCTTCGTGGGTTACATGTTGGGCTGCTAACCTCAAGGTCAGCAGTTCGAAGGCACCAGCCAGGCTGGGAGAAAGATGAGACTTTGGGCTCATTGCGTGAGTGAGTGGGGTCGCACATGCAACATTTAACAAATTATGCTCTATTTCATAAGAGCAGGTGGAACCATGCCAATGGTCTGGCAAGAAATAGAAGAATTAGCGGAACTTCGCTCACCACAAAACAGAAAAATAACAAACAGAAATAAAACGTATGCCGCGCTCTATCAGACACATAGCCCGGACTAGTAGAAATGCCCCCCTTTCGAGCGTTTCTAAAGCTGCTATAATCTTTAAGGAGTCAACGCACACCGTTTTCCAGAACTTCTGAGGAGCCCAAACCAACAAACTTAGCGTTAACATCCCTAACACCATTAGAGATCCCAGCCCCCCACGGCTCCCCCCCCTCCCACCCCACTTTCACCTTCCTTCACGCCCCCAGACGCCCCCCCGCCCCCCAATCCCCTGTGCTGCGCTCGGCGACAGCTCCAGAGACCTGCCTCCGCACCTACCTTCTGAAGTGACAGGTGTGATTGTTCCACATCCAATTCAAAGAAGTTACCCAAGAAAGGCAACCTCCGGGGGCCTGGCGGGTAGTTTTTGGGGTGCCGCCTTTTGAGGAAAGAAGTAAGAAGCAGAAAGGAGACGGCGCCCAGCAGGAGAACCTGCAGACGGCACCCTGCCCAGCTGGCGGCCAGGAGGGAGCCCACCCCAGTTAGCAGGACAAGGACAGCCATTTCTCTTCTGAGGTCCCAGCCTGCGACAGTCCCAGCTCA